GTGTTTCTATTTTCTAAGCAGGACCCCAAGACAGTATTTTGTATGCCAAACAGAGGCAACCGGTAAGACAACAGGCATTTGTGGTTTTTCACAAAGGCTGTATTTCTCTTGCCTACTCTCATAGGCACCCTCCTGGCAAAAGCAGACAGACAGACACACACACACACACACACACACACACACACACACACACACACTTTTTTATCACTCATCAAGAGAACTGCCAAGAGTAAGCAATTTGTCTATCAATCAAATCTTTTAATTCTTGGCCAATTATAAGGAAAGTGGCTTTCCCGCTATAGTAACTTGACACTCATCTCTTTCTCTCTGTCTTTTTATAATCACAGCAGAATCTAAGAAGAAGAAAAAGGAAGGCAAGAAACAGGAGAAGATGCTGGATTAAAAGATGCCACCTTCTGTGGAACATGAAAAGGACATCAGCAAACAGGATCAGTTAACTATTGCATTTATACCTACTGTAGGCTTTTTATTCAAAAATTATCTATAGCTTAAGTACACAATAGGCAAAAACAAAGGCAAAATAAAATTTTTGTAGTAGCATTTTTAAATGTATGCCATAGTACCACTAGGGGCTTATAATAAAGGACTGTAATCCTATTTAGAAAGTTGACTTATAGTACATGATAAATAATAGGCAATTGAGGTAAGTTTTTTGAATTTATGCGATATTTTACACTTCAATTTTTTTTTACATTTTTTTGGCAGCAATTTAAATGTTATGACCATGTAAACTACTTCTCTTGTTAGGTAATTTTTTCACCTAGACTTTTTTTTCCCAATTGAGAAAAATATATACTAAACAAAGCAGCAATAAAGTATAATCACTCCTTTGAGAAAAGTATCTTATTTTCTGCCAATGGATTTAAAAAAAATTAGTCAGCAAAATGGGGGGGGGGAGGGAGGGCAGAGCCTGCCTGAGTTCACTGTTGACTGTTTTTTTTCTTTTCTTTTTTTTAAAACAAAAGCATTTAAACATGAAATTCTTTCACTTTGGCAGAACCATTTGTTTCCTTAATGAAATTATTTTTCCATCTGAGGAAAAAAATTACTAGGAAAATAAATCAAGGTGATGTCAAAAAAATCGTGCTTTTGTGTGCAGTAATTTGATACCATATTCTTCCTCCTCTGATCCCCTCACCTACACTCTCTCATTTGAGCTTTTAGCACTGAGAATTTATCATACAAACAAGTTAAATCACTTTGGGGCACAAATGTTACACAGTGTGTTTTTCCTTTTTACTTTCTATAAGTATTTAGTAGGTTAGCCTGGTGCTACTGAAATTAACAAAAGTAGTCTAGGGTTTGATGGAACGGGAAAATGTTCTTCTTATATTGAATAAATTTGGGCTAGGACAGTCCAAATCAGGATCAGAGTAACAAAATGCAAAATAGTAGTTTGTCCTTGGTTTCCATAAGCCAAGAATTTCCACTCAGTTATATGCCCTGGGTGCCAAAGACTATCTGTACTACTCCCTTATCTGCTGGATTCTAGGCACAGTCTTTGGGTAAACAAGTCTATGCTTTTTTTATTCAGAGCAATAGTCTCAATTGGCTGGGATTAGCTTCCAAGTATTTCTCTTGACATAGTCACCTCTAATTCTAAAGTGATAAGACTCAATAAATGAACACCTATCTACCAAGGTAATTTTAAGTCCATTTTCAGAGAAGATGGCTTCAGCATACCCTGGGCTGGCTATAAAATAGATAATTACGTGCTGGTCTGATGCAGCTAAAGGGTCTTGGCAGCTAAACTATTTTCGTCACCTAGTCTAAGACCTTGCTTGAGCTAGGAATATTGAGGGGTCTATTTCTCTCCGTTGTCAAAGAAAACTGCCAGTGGGGAATAGAGAAAGGAATGAACTTCTCGGCATTTTATGGACTGGTGCTTAATAAAAATAGAGTACCTTGTAAAGTGCAAATGACAGAGACATGAATAGTAAATGCAGTACTTTTACAAGCTGACCTTAATAGGAAAAATCACTCTTGGGGATGGATGGAGGAGATGAAAGAAAGGCAGTATCTGAGTGGGTTTCTTGACAGCGAAGTTCCTAAAGAGTGGAATGATGGAAGAGACTGCAGCAAATTTTGCTAACCTCCCAGCAAATGGTGCCCCTCCATCACCATTTAGTCAAAAACAGCTGCCCATGAATCAGTAATGAGTGAAGGTGAACTAGCACAAAATTTCTCAAGGGAAAAACAGTCTTGTAAATAACTGTGGCACACTCCTTTATTCTCAGGGCATGGCAGGAAGTCAAAAAGGCAAGGTTCTTCTGCTGTGTCAACTACGATACTTCACAAACCACATAATTCCCTGATTTTCTGTTAGAACACAAGGGTTGGAAAGCAAGAGTTAGAATGCTAATCTCTGTTGTGTAGGGTGTGAAATTCAACTCCTCCAAAGTCTGAAGACTTATTCTACCCCAGTATCAGCTTTCACCATATTGTTAAATTACACTGAAACATTGAAACATCAATACAAAAGGACAAACTCCCAAAATCACTGATTCTCACAAATAGGAAAAAACAGACTGTCGTCAGGCACTTCAGAGTGAGCCTGAGCGAACCATCTCTTCCCAAATATTCTGAGTTTTCTGAACTTTACCCTAACATGCAATAAACCTGGAGTAAAAGGAGGGAAATGTAAAGAAGTCACGTGTTTCTTTAAATGAGCTTAAAGTGAAGACAAATTTCCCATCCAATATTTGGGAGGGTGCAAAGCAGCCTCAGCAAACACTTGCAAAAACAAATCTCCTGTGACCAGAAAGTGTCGCTGTTCATCTCAGTGATTGCATCTCTCACGCTCGTCCTCTGATAGACATTCCAATTTATACTGAATATGTGAATGCTGCCACACTCACATGTACATAGGTTGTGAAAAACAGGGTCTTAGATGAAGATATTTTGACTTCATACATTTCTAGAATGACATCCTAACATCTTGATAAAGTAGAAGTGGAATTCAAATAAGGTTTAATGCTCTGAATATTTATCAAGGGAAGTTCTACTCAGTTGGGGTGGTGGGAAGGCATGGGTCTAAAAAATATTCACTTCATTGATTGTCTTATTGAGAAAGGAAAGGCTACAGTCCTTTCCTAATTGAGGAGACAGATGCGTCTTTAGGAATAGGGATATATATTCCTCCCCCCCCCCCCATAATATATAACTCTAGAATCCATATAACTTCTTTAAATGAAAAACAGGAAATATGCCTTAGGAAACACTGAATGAGGCAATAGGAAATGCTGTCTTCTACAAACTGAGTTATTTTAAAACAGTTTCCAAACATGAAATTTAGAACTTTATCAACCTTTAGTCATAAGGTTTTCTAACGGAGTGAAACAAAGGGTCTTTCTTCCTATTAATCCTCTCTAAAAATAATGAGGCAGATCAATATCTTTGGATATAATAAAATATCAACACATTCAATTGACTTTTTAAAAAGTTTTAGAGACTTAGAATACATTTATCTAAGGAGAAAGGGGCATGATGCTATTCTAAGCATTGACTAAGTAATGCCTACTTTAAACTTATGTGGACTCTAATGCCCCTATAAATGAAAGATATGGAGCACCTTAATCAGAGAAAAACATGTCATAATCTTATCTACCTCCTCTGCTGCTTCTCTTCTTCCCAATACTTTACTCTTCCAAGCAAGGCACCAAAGTAAAGTAAATCCAATCCCACTGGGGTCACAAGAAAAACCATGCAATTCAAGCACAGGTCAACACATAAAGGAGTAATGCAGACTTACTTTTAAATTTATTATTTGAAAAGAAAAATAATGAAAAATTAGCTTCTAGTATCTAATTTCTGTAAAGTGATTTTTTTCAAAAAGACAAAACCTTAACAGACAGAAAATTGACGTATTTCTTATGCATATATCCATTTGAACTACTGTTTTAAGTAAGTACTGAGTTGGCTAGGAGGTAGTATATCTAGAATATTGCTACATATTTGCTTTTGTTCTTTGAAAATGTGCATGGAGGCCATACATCTTATTAGAGAATAAAAACATGGAAAATCCTGACATCATATACCTAGACTACTTGAAATGAAAGGATGCCTTAGAGATCGTACAGACATAGAAATTACATCCATGCATCCAATCTGCTCCTAGTAGAGATATAAGTGTTACATAAACTAATCACAGAGAATAATTTTTTTTACTCTGTATTTTGATTGTCAGATGCATCAAACACAGGGTAAAGTTTCAAGTGTCTTAGTTTATGAGACTTTTGGAGAATTGCACAAAGGGCCTTATTTACTGTTAGTGACTAGCTGATTGAGATATTTACAATGGCTGACATGAATTTTAGATTTCTAAGACCCAAAGTCGTGTGCTTTAAAGGTCATTTTGCCTGATAAATCTTTCTGAAAAAAATAGGTAGCTTAGTATTTTATAAAGAACATGATAAATGTAAATTAACCTTCTTTTGAAGACTTATTCTTGTCACCAAGAATATCAGGTTATTATTTTTTGCTATCATGGCAGCTGTTATTGTAAATATTTTCTCGTGTGTTGCTCATAGGTCATAGGATTGAATGGATATTGCACCAAGATATAACTTGGAACTTAATTTGAGGGGGGAAAATCTAACAACAACAGCAAAAACCCAGAATGTAGCTTCCTTTAAATTTTATCTCTTTTCATGAAAGTGGAATGAAGTATACGCTGCTTTTTGAGCCATAGGAAAGGATAATAGGGTGACTTTTATAGAGAATTATACAATTAGATTTCAGAATTAAGCAAACTACTCTTAAATATTTTTTCTTGCCTTCTAGAAAAAATAATCTTTGCTGTCCTTAAACTTGCCAGTTGTATTCAAAGCACTCTCTATTTTGAATTATTGTCCTTTTCAACCTACTTTTTCATCTCACTTGTATTTCACATGTTGATAGGGTATGAAGGAGGACTATTTAGCACTGATCATTTTGAGAATATTTGCAAATTAACATTACTCATCATAATAAAACTACCCTAATAGGAAAAACGAGCCATCATATTTTATAAATTATTATTTTTTGTTTGATGTCATTTAGGTAAAAGTATGAATTTTTTTTAATATCATAGAGATTGTAAGTTCATATATAACCTACAAAATGGAGCAACTTTCTTATAAAAACTCTTCTGTAATAATATACCATACTTAAAAAAATACCTTTGTGTAATGTTAGATTCATTGTAACATAACATTGAAAGTTAGGATAAAAGTAAAGATACTAAAAGGCGCTGACTAATCCTTCCGCTTTATTAAATACGTAATCAACATATTCAATTGAATTGCAATTATCTGCATAATGCAATATTAGGCACTCTGGGAAGAAAACAGATAAAATTTAGAATTTATAGCCCAACCTCATCTATTTGTATATTCTAAATATACAAAGATTTTTAAAATTAAGAGTAAGAGTATAATGTAACATCAAAGAAATATAAGGTTAGTAATGATTAAGGTCTAGCAAGACCTAAAAATTTCAAAGAAATCACCAGCTTGGAGTAATTAGAAAAGAATTCATACAGGGAGGTGTTAAGCGTTTATTTGTCCCTTAAAGAATAGACAAAATTTGGATGGAGGATAAAAGGGACATTCTAAGAGCAAAGTTCTGAAAAAGACAGAGGATTACAAGCATTAGCAGTTTGCAATATTTGTTTAGTATAGCCAAACTAATTTACCTAAGGTTCAAGGTGGTGTCTTGAAAATATTTTCTCCCATCATGTAAAGTCAAATTTAGCATTGTCAGGCAGCATCCCCCCAAAACACACGTGCACAACACACACACCCCTCCACACACAAGTTATTGATGAAATACAAGCTTCACAAAGTAATATTTACCCTTACTACGTGTTATGTACTCTGATACATGTTTCCTCTTTTTAATTTCATTTTTAAAAATCTGTTTGCAAGATCGCAACCCTCCGTGTTGCGCCCGCACCTCGCTCAGCCAGTGAGCGGGAACTGGTCTGTATGTGGGATCCGAACCCTCGGCGGGAGCGCCACCGTGCTCCCAAGCGGCACACTGTAGCAGTGCGCCACCGGGCCGGCCCCTGATTAAGCTCTTTATTTGAGCATGCTATTTATT